TGTTAACAAAAATGCAAAAATTGAAAGAGGTGTGCCAAGATTGGTCATCAATTACAAACCTCTTAATGATGCTTTGAAATGGATCGGGTATCAGAGAGGCTCCAAGAAAAGATCTTTAGATCGATTACAGGATTCAATCATTTTTTCTAAAGTTGATTGGAAATCAGGATATTGGCATATTCAAAACAGAAAATTTAGAAAATCAAAAGTTCTCATTTCTCCATGAAATCCCTCATTTGATACAACTATAGAAATTTCTCCACTATTTATTCACATAATAGTTTATCAAGCATGAAATTCACAATACCTCAACATCTTTTCCAAAATCCCCAAATTTTTAGGATTTCCACCAAAACTAGGTTTTTGTCCCATTTTTGAAAGGATTTTTCCAAAACAACACTCACACTTTAGAATATATAGCTCATACTCTAAAACGTTTTGGAAATATAGAGAAATCCACCTTAAAAACCCATCTAGAGTTCATGAACCCAAACCATAGTTCAAACATGAAAGAAATACTCCAAACAAGCATAGACTTGCAAAAATGTATATATAACTCTAAGAATGTCCCTACCTTAAGCTTAGGAGAGGAAGACAGATTATACCTATGGCCAACTTATCAGATTGGTCACTGAGGAAGGTCTGGCCTTGTGCAATGACCTTAAATTATAGCATCAAATGAAGAAACATAGTAAAAATGAATTAGGTGAATTTTGTGAGCAATTTTCTTATGACTATTGATGTATCCAAAAATAAAATATTTAGGTGGCGACTCTGTATCTGGCAAAGCAGTCCATGTTTGGCACTTTTTTCAAAATCTGTTTTCTCAAAACGATTTGCCGGATTTGGACTCTTTGGTTCAGACTTAGAACCGTGACAATTTGAGAGTCCTGAGCTGTAGTGACCCCAAAATGAACGGAACGGGAGCTCGTTCCTCCCGGGGCGTTCGGGGACGTCTACAATACCCATTCTTGCAAAAGTATAAATACATCCATATAGGACTTGTGCAGATAGCATTCAAGCCTTTGACCCTACTTGGGCAAAATACCAGTATCCAATGCACCCTTCGAGATGGTAGCTGTATTGATTGGAAAGCATCTCTAATGGGAGCCATAGAAACCAGCCTCTCCCATGGACCAGCATATTTTAACATATATCCAAACCTAAGCATAGCACTTATTGATCCAAATTTATCAAAAGTCCTAAAGCTTAGGATTCTTTCTCATGGATATAAGTATCTTCCAGGATCACCACCTTTTACAGTTATCTCTCGGATTCATTTAAAGGTTTTAACCACTTTGAATCCTTATATCAAAAAGCAGAGTGAATTAGGACACACAGTCCTTATTGATACTAACCTTTTCAGTAGTCAGGTTGATGTTCCAAGAATGATACCTTGGCAAAATATAACCTTTCCAGATAAGTGGCATATTTCTGATGCTGTTCCAGTCAGGCCCATTGTCAGACAATCGATAGATGATATTATACAGATGCAAAGAGGTAATGTATACCTCACCTTTAATAGGCCAAACAGGCCATTATCCAGAAGCATGTCTAGTGCTAGCTTTAGAACTGCTCCATCTTACAAAGTAGATCTACTTGAGTCTTCAAGACAATCAACCTCAGAACTTATAGAATCAGTGTTACAAGGAATGTCTTCCCGACCTCCTAGTGACACTAATCCTAACAATACTACAGACCTTATAGTACAAGGAGTTCAATTTTCAAAAAACCAGATACCACATGGTGTTTATGAATCCAGGTGGCCTTATAGCCCTACAGCTAGCGATATGAACTTTGAAGTTTAATGGATTTTACACCAGGAAGTGAAAATCACAAAATCCTAAACGAGGATTTTTACCAGGATAGATACCAGGAGTTTAGGACATGGTATTTTAAGAATCATAGTCCTACCCAGCTTCTTCAGCTTAAACAACAGTATTATGCTCACTTAGAACAATATCAGATACTCCAATCTTTTCCATTATCGTTTATGGAAAATGTTAAGCAAATAGAAAATCAGCTTAATGTACTTGAAAACATACAGAGAACTTGGGTAACTACGGACAGCCAAAATATTGTATCTGTTCATCCTCCTCCACAATCATTAGAACTTAAACCTAATGATATCACATCTGGTACACCTTTAGGAATCACGACTTTTGTTGAAACTCCAGAAAGACTTTCCAAAAGGGAAGCAATACTTGTTAAAGATATAGTACCTCTGATAAAACAGAATATTTATACAAATCTTTATTGCCAAACAGTAGGAAAACAATTAACTAGAATAGAAGAGACTGTTGTGCAAATTAAAAATAGTTATAAAATCCAGCCAAAATCTGAATCCTTAATTCCAGTTACTATTAAACCACCACTTGAGGTGACAAAGTTCAAACTTAAGTCACCTAAACAAAATACAGAATTCATGGATACTCTAGTCAAAAGAATTAAGAATCTTAGTATAGGGGAATCATCACAAATTAATATGATGTCCAAACAAGCAATTCAGGAAAAAACAGAAGAAGATTCTCAGAATCTTACTCTTTTCCAAATTACAGAAATCAAAAATAATTTCCAGGACACTCCAACTTCCACAAACAAAATACACTTTGGAAATACAAGTAAAACAGCCCCTAGTAGGTATTACTATCCCAAACCTACTCCTATGGATATTCTCTATGAAGAGGATTTCCTTCAAACCCAGAAAGCTTATCATGGAAAAACCATCTATGAATGGAATTTAGATGGTCTTTCTGAATACCAGATATTTGAACTGTTGCATCAAATGATAATGTATTCAACAGTTTGTAAACAGAATGATAACGATGACCATGATATAGCCCGATTTTTAGTCAACGGTTTTACAGGAATTCTCAAAGGATGGTGGGATAATATCATCACCGAAACTCAACAGAATGAGATTTTAAGTTCATATAAACGTATAATCGAACCCTTAACAGGAAATGTTCGTACCGAACAAGATGCTGTTTATACTCTTCTTAATACCATATTACACCATTTTGTTGGTGCCTCCACTGATGGTATTGAAGATAGGAGTAGAGAACTTTTACAGAATCTTAGATGCCCTTCTTTATCCCATTTTAGGTGGTATAAAGATGTTTTCATGATGAGGGTTGTGCGTCATTCTGATGCAAACAGTGAACATTGGAAAGCCAAATTTATTGATGGCCTTCCTACTCTCTTTGCCGAAAGAATTAGGAAAAAATTACGGGATCGACATAATCGAATGTCTATTCCTTATACAGATTAGACCTATGGCCAACTTATCAGATTGCTCACTGAGGAAGGTCTGGCCTTGTGCAATGACCTTAATTACAGCATCAAATGAAGAAACATAGTAAAAATGAATTAGGTGAATTTTGTGAGCAATTTGCTTATGACACCAAAGTTTAGTATCCCTCTAAAAACAGGAAACATAAATTTGGAAAATCTTCAAAACATTATTCCAAAAAATTCAGAAAATACAAAACTCCTAAACAATACCAGCAACCCCAACCTTCTAAACCTTCTAAACCTAAGAAGCAAACCTCTTACATAAAGCAAAACCCAAAATCCACCATTAAATGTTACAAGTGTGGACAAACTAGTCACTATGCCAATCGTTGTAAAATCAAAATACAACAAAAATTAAATGAAATGGCTTTCGATGACCATATACAGAAACAGATTCTTCAGATACTTTCTGATGAAGATTCCAATAATAGTTCAAGTTCAAATGATGGACTTGCAGAACTTTATTCACCATCTGCCTCTGAAACAGAGTCTGATTCACCTTCAGAAATTTGTTCATGTAAGCAAAGTACTATAAATCAAATTTCAGAAGCTAACCATTGGAAAGCAATAGTTGAAATGAATGGACTTGATATAGGTGGACCTAGTATCAATGTTCTTACAGACACTGAACAATAGATGTTAAACATCGCTGATCAAATCTCTGATCTAGAAATGAAGGTAAAATTCCTTGAAATGTGTTATCAACATCATAAAAAGGAAGTCATTTGTTTTCTCCCTAAACATTATAGTACGAAAGAAGTTTATAATCGATTACAACATACTTCTGATGAAAAACCCATCACAATCCAGGATCTTAAGATGGAAGTTAATGCTTTAAAAGTAGAAATTAAACATCTCCAAACAGCAAACTTAGCAATTACAGCCGATATTAAGAAAATTAATACTCAGTTAAACCAATAGCAAAGCCTAACCAAAGATAAAGGTTTGGCAAAAGACGAATCCAGTACTACATCAGGACCTAAATATTTGTTGCTCATGAATTAGGTTACTTTCCAAAAATGGTATATCGAAATAACTTTTATTATAAAACCAGATTTTATAATAAAGGATGTTGTCGCTCTTGTAGATAGCAATGTTGATATGAATTGTATCTAGGAAAGATTAATTCCTACAAAATATTTCCAGAAAACAACCCAGTCATTAACCAGTGCTAGTGGTAATTCAATGTACATTAGATACAAACTTCCAGAAATCCTTATCTGCAACCAGGGCATTTGTCTCCCAACCTCAATTTTCCTTATTAGAAACATGTCTCAATCTATTTTTCTAGGGACACCATTTCTGTGTTTTTTAATGCCAATCACTAAAATAGATTCTGTAGGCATTCATACAACCATAAGTAATCATACGATTATTTTTGAGTTTATTACAGAACCTTATACCAAGGAATTGGATCAGATAAAGGATCTAGTTAATTTCAAGGAAAAACAAAGTAATTTCCTCCAAATCAAATTCATTTTCTAACTAACGGGAAGGTCATTGCTTATGCCTCTCGCCAACTGAAGACTCACGAAAGGAACTATCCAACTCATGATCTAGAATTGGCTGCGGTGATCTTCGCCCTCAAAATCTGGCGTCATTATCTCTATGGAGTAGCCTGCGAAATCTACACTGACCACAAAAGTCTCAAATATCTGTTTACACAGAAGGAATTGAATATGAGGCAACGACGATGGCTAGAATTCATGAAGGACTACGCTATAGAGATTCATCATCATCCCGGCAAAGCTAATGTAGTAGCAGACGCACTAAGTCGAAAAACGACCAAAAGTTTGGCATGTACACTCATTCTCCGCAAGATCCATGGATTGCTCGCCAACATAATCGTGGAACCCGAGTTGATGGAAGAAATTAGAGCCCGCCAATGTGAAGACAAACTTTTGAAGAAAAAGTACGAGGAACAAGGAAACACGCCTGATCCTGACTTTACAATTAGCAATGGGATACTAAAATTTCGAAATCGATTTTGTGTACCCGACCTTCCAGAACTTAAGAAAAGGATACTAGTAGAAGCTCATAACTCGAGGTTTGCAATCCATCCTGGCAATACAAAGATGTATCACGATCTGAAGGAACACTTCTAGTGGACCGGAATGAAGAAAGACATAGCAGGCCATGTCTCCAAATGCCTGCGTTGTCAACAAGTTAAAGCGGAACATCAGCGACCTGCAGGAATGTTGCAACCACTCCCTATTCCTGAATGGAAGTGGGAACACATTACTATGGACTTCGTGGTCGGGCTACCACAATCTTTTTCAAAGAATGATGCAATATGGGCTATAGTAGACCGATTAACAAAGTCAGCACACTTTCTACCAATCAAAATCATGTACCCTCTAAATAAGTTTGCCACTTTATATATCAAAGAGATTGTTCGGTTGCATGGTATCCCAGTATCAATCGTGTCTGACCGAGATCCTCGTTTCGTGTCTCATTTCTGGAATAGATCACAAGAAGCTTTGGGAACTACACTGAAATTCAGCACGGCCTATCATCCACAAACCGATGGGCAATCCGAAAGAACAATCCAAACGTTGGAAGACTTGTTACGTGTATGCGTGTTGGACCTCAAGGGTAACTGGGATGAGCACCTACCTTTGGTGGAATTCGCCTATAACAACAGCTACCAGGCAAGCATTGGAATGGCGCCGCACGAAGCTCTGTATGGAAGAAGATGTCGATCACCTCTGTGCTGGACGGAGGTCGGGGACAGGAAATTGTTAGGCCCCGAAATCGTGCAAGTCACTAGTGAGAAAATCCAACTCATTCAACAGCGAATTCGCACCGCTCAAAGCCGCCAGAAAAGTTATGCAGATACTCGGAGACGAGACTTGGAATTTCAAATAGGGGACCATGTGTTTCTCAAAATCTCCCCAACAAAAGGAGTAATCCGGTTCGGAAAACACGGGAAACTAAACCCACGTTACATCGGGCCATTCGAGATACTAGAAAGAATTGGTCTTGTAGCCTATCGCCTTGCACTACCTCCTGAGCTATCTAATATCCACAATGTGTTTCACGTTTCAATGCTCCGACGGTATCTCCGAGACCCAGAACATGTCATTGATTATGAGAACTTGAAGGTTCGAGAAGATCTCACCTACAAAGAACAACCAATAATCAAGTTCTCCGAAATAAGACCATACCGTTGGTAAAGGTCTTATGGCGAAATCATCACATCGAAGAAGCTACGTGAGAAACCGAAGCACAAATGCGAGCTAAATACCCGCACCTCTTCGAAGGTTAAGGTACGTCAAGTTTGAGGACAAACTTCTGTTTGGAAGGGGAGAATTGTGACACCTCGAACGTTTAGTCAAGTCCATATAAATATTTATATTTATATATAATTATGGTTGCACGTGATTATGGTTGCACGTGATGATAGATGAATAAATGTATAAATCTAAAATGGCATTGGGTTATTAATTAGGGATTATTATTTGAGGTTAAATATAAAATTTATAATACAAATTAAATTAAAAAAAAGGGGAATAAATAATAATATAAATAATAATAATGGGTATGGTAATAAAATAAATAATTAATTTTCTGTTGGTATGTGATAATGTGTAATTTAATTAAGAATTAATTTACTTATATAATTATATTAAAATATTGGGTCAAATGTAATTATCTTAATTATTTCTTAAGATAAGTATGAATCTCGGAGTGAATCAGAAACAATCTGGGGAGGGATTCGAATCGGCCACGTGTTGGCTAATGGGTGGTCTCATCTCACTATTTATAGGGAGAAGTTGCTCAATCTGTGGAAGAGAGAAACAGAAAAGAAGAAAGAAAAAGAAAGAAAGAAGAAAGAAAAGAGAGTGGGAGAGGTACGTAAATAAGTTGGGTTAGTGGAGTAAGGCTAAGGGTCACTATTAAAGTGAGTTATATTATATCTTGAGTTACCAAAATGCATTTTATTTATGTTTTGACTTACCAAAATTTATTTTATACAAGTTATATTTTATTAGTATATTAATAAAAGTTTTGTTTTATAAAGATTACAGTTACGTGGTTTATTTCTGAACCCTATTTGCTTAAAAGGAAACCCATGAATATGTTTGTTTTTATTTTAAAGAATATTTGGCTATAACCTTATGTGAAAATATGTTTTGTGAATACCACCACGGGAGTCCCATGCCTTGGGGGACTTAAATAACCATTGGCTTAGTGATTGACCACTTTGTGGCCCAGTGTTTGTCATGGATCCATTGACCAGTGTAGTGCTAGTCACTTAGTGATGTACCGTGGTTATAGTGATTATTTCAGTTTCTGGCACTTAATTAAATTGTGTATTCAATTCAACTCAATTTATAATGTTTTTTTTTAGCTTAAATAAATATCCATAGCTATTTTGTGCCCTCATAGTATAATATTTCTCACTCTGCTATGTGCTTATAGCTGTTACCCCTTTCAGGTGACGAGGTTTAGCGGGATCAAGATGGAAAATGAATCGCTATGTTATTTTGTTTTTTTTTTTAAGATTTCTGTCTTCTATTATTAAACTCTTGTAATACAATGAAGCTCCAATGACTATGTTTATTACCTTTTAAATAAACAGTTGATACCCAGTTACTTATTCTAATTTATTTAATTTATCCGTTTGCGCTGTAAAATTATCCGAATTACCTTATTTTATTTCATTTATCTTGTTACGACATTAAACCCTTGGGGTACCGGGTTTGGGTCATGACAAACTAGTCACTATGCCAATCGTTGTAAAACCAAAATACAACAAAAATTAAATGAAATGGCTTTAGATGACCATATACAGAAACAGATTCTTCTGATACTTTCTGATGAAGATTCCAATAATAGTTCAAGTTCAAATGATGGACTTGCAGAACTTTATTCACCATCTGCCTCTGAAACAGAGTCTGATTCACCTTCAGAAATTTGTTCATGTAAGCAAAGTACTATAAATCAAATTTCAGAAGCTAACCATTGGAAAGCAATAGTTGAAATGAATGGACTTGATATAGGTGGAGCTAGTATCAATGTTCTTACAGACACTGAACAATAGATGTTAAACATCGCTGATCAAATCTCTGATCTAGAAATGAAGTTAAAATTCCTTGAAATGTGTTATCAACAGCATAAAAAGGAAGTCATTTGTTTTCTCCCTAAACATTACAGTATGAAAGAAGTTTATAATCGATTGCAACATACTTCTGATGAAAAACCCATCACAATCCAGGATCTTAAGATGGAAGTTAATGCTTTAAAAGTAGAAATTAAACATCTTCAAACAGCAAACTTAGCAATTACAGCCGATATTAATAAAATTAGTACTCAGTTAAACCAATAGCAAAGCCTAACCAAAGATAAAGGTTTGGCGAAAGACGAATCCAGTACTACATCAGGACCTAAATATTTGTTGCTCATGAATCAGGTTACTTTCCAGAAATGGTATATCAAAATAACTTTTATTATAAAACCAGATTTTATAATAAAGGATGTTGTCGCTCTTGTAGATAGCAATGTTGATATGAATTGTATCTAGGAAAGATTAATTCCTACAAAATATTTCCAGAAAACAACCCAGTCATTAACCAGTGCTAGTGGTAATTCAATGTACATTAGATACAAACTTCCAGAAGTCCTTATCTGCAACCAGGGCATTTGTCTCCCAACCTCATTTTTCCTTATCAGAAACATGTCTCAATCTATTTTTCTAGGGACACCATTTCTGTGTTTTTTAATGCCAATCACTAAAATAGATTCTATAGGCATTCATACAGCCATAAGTAATCATACGATTATTTTTGAGTTTATTACAGAACCTTATACCAAGGAATTGGATCAGATAAAGGATCTAGTTAATTTCAAGGAAAAACAAAGTAATTTCCTCCAAATCAAATTCATTTTCTAACTATAGAACAGAGATTGCAATAATCTTCTTTACATAACAAATTAAAATGATTGAAAAAGAATTTCATATAGCAATCTGCAGTGATGTTCCAAATGCATTTTGCGAACGCAAAAAACGCATAGTTGCTCTCCCTTATGAACCAGAATTTGATGAGCATGAAATTCCCACACGATTGCGACCCAGTCGAATGAAAAAAGAATATTTTGAACTTTGTAAAACATAAATAAATACTCTCTTACAGAAAAATCTTATCAGACCAAGTTATTCTCCTTGGAGTTGTACAGCCTTTTATGTTAACAAAAATGCAAAAATTGAAAGAGGTGTGCCAAGATTGGTCATCAATTACAAACCTCTTAATGATGCTTTTGAAATGGATCAGGTATCTTATCCCGAACAAAAAAGATCTTTAGATCGATTACAGGATTCAATCATTTTTTCTAAATTTGATTTGAAATCAGGATATTGGCAGATTCAAAACAGAAAATTTAGAAAATCAAAAGTTCTCATTTCTCCATGAAATCCCTCATTTGATACAACTATAGAAATTTCTCCACTATTTATTCACATAATAGTTTAGCAAGCATGAAATTCACAATACCTTAACATCTTTTCCAAAATCCCCAAATTTTTAGGATTTCCACCAAAACTAGGTTTTTGTCCCATTTTTGAATGGATTTTTCCAAAACAACACTCACACTTTAGAATATAGCTCATAATCTAAAACGTTTTGGAAATATAGAGAAATTCACCTTAAAAACCCATCTAGAGTTCATGAACCCAAACCATAGTTCAAACATGAAAGAAATACTCCAAACAAGCATAGACTTGCAAAAATGTATATATAACTCTAAGAATGTCCCTGCCTTAAGCTTAGGAGAGGAAGGAGATGAAAATCCTAGAATTCAATGTTGATGAAAACTTGATTCGATCGGTGTAAATGTAGCCCTCGTCGCCCTCTTCGATTTGGTATAAAAATCCTTATCAAATTCTTGAAGGTTTTTGCTGAATCTTAGAGAGAAGTTTGGATTTGGGTGGGTTTGTAAAGAGAAGGAAGATAAAAGATGAATATATATATATATATATAGAGAGAGAGAGAGAGAGAGAAGTGAAAGTGTACAAAACACATTTTTGGCCTCAGTTTGTGGAATTCGAGACAGACACGTTGAAATCCACACGAGCGGATTCTGTACAGAAATTTCCCAAAAACTC